TGCAAAGTTCTACGATGTACATTCATCTGATCACTTAAAATTGTCAAATTGCAGCACTGGCATGTCTGCATTACCGGAGGTGCTGGGGGGTTTAACCTCATCCTCTTCGGAGTTGATGCTTCTCCATCATTCTCAGTTGATGGTCCTCCATAATTCATCAACGTACATGAATCGCGCTGATGACGACGCAGGTTGTCACTGCGTGTGAAATTTTTCCCACATTCGTTGCACATATACATTTTGTATGAAATTATATGAACCACAAGATTAGGAGGAGAATGCGAACTGAGTGAAACATTCACATCGCACTCCCGTTAAAAGTATTTCCCCCCCCACCACTACATGTTCAAGGTTATATGACATGCATATATATCAAGGTCGTAAGATGCTCTCCAAGGTTGAACCTCAAGGTCACATATTAGGAATAGCTTGAATTATCAAGTTCAAATTTCATGTTTAAAGTTATATAGCATACACATAGCTCAAGGTTGATCTCAAAGGTAAAGCACAAGTTCAGAGTCATGTATTGCAGATATAATGGATAAAATGAAGATCATATGATGTGACATCTTTCAAGGTTTAACATCGAGGTCAAGTATTGAGCAAGGATAAATCTCAAGGTCGAATCGCATGGTCATATTGAACGTGCATAATGCAAGATCATGAGGTATCTTTCAAGACCAAACTTCAAGGTCACATATCGAGGAACAGACTCAAATCTCAAGGTCGACACCCATGATCAAGGTCATATCATCTGACACGTAACTGAAGGTCATATGACGACATTCAAGGACAAGGTCAAATGGTGGGGGGAGGTCCTCAAGCGGCCTTAGACAACTACTGACATGCAATGTGGGATTATGCCTCAAAGACAATAAAAATTATTTTTATGTCTGTCATCAGAACTAAATGATGCCTAGTGGTCACTTGAAATAACCATACCATTTTTTTTGTCACGATTTCACATTTTTTTCGTTTCCCTTTGTGAAAAAATATATCAATCAATACATTTTCCCAAGAAAAATTCATTCCGTCCTCAAAGGACAATGTAATGCAGGCAGAATATTACATATGCTACATATTATATAGCTTCTACGTCCCTGAGCGATAACCAGGGACTTAGTAGCTAAGTTGCATCCTGGAATGTATAGGGTTTTTGATTGAGCGCTTCCTATTTTCAAACTTCGATAAAACAAAGTGTGTGTGAGACACATCAAAATTTTTCATACGTCCAATTTTCCATGACTCTGGCGCATAAATCAGGCTGAATTTGACCGATGGCGTAGGTTATGTTGGCTTTGAGGACCGCTGTGATTTGTGGCTCACTCGCATACAACTGCAATTCAAGAAAACCCCACAAGGAAAATTCTAACGAAGTCAGTTCACATCAGTTCCACGTGAGATGACCATGCCCCCAAATCGCTCCTGCAGAATATCCAATGTGGCATGAGCTGTGTGGTACGTAGCCCTGTCTTTTTGAAATCATATATCGTTTGTGTCCAGATTATACAATTCAAGTCGAAAGAAGTTGGTAATCATCGAACTATAATAGTGCTCGCCGTTGGCAGTGATGGCCTGGTCCAGTGCTCATTCAGCGAACACACGTCGTTGTCTATGGTCGTTAACCTTCAGTTCTTGGGTCACTTGAATTTTGTACTGGTGCAGGCCCAAGTCGCGAAATCGACTGTTTCGAATTCACTTGTACACTCTCACACACAGCGGCGATGTTTTCGGCAGATCTTGCGTATCGTCGATATACGGGTATGAGTCGATCGTTCACTGAACCAGTGGACTCAAATTCATCTAAAGCAAATTCCAAATCCAAGATAGAGTGGATATAAACATTGACATGCCCAACGCACGTGATATTGAAAATCCCAAGAATTGGCCAGGGTCGTATTCAGAACCAACATCTTGTTGATCGCAAATGCTATATCACACTTAGGAGAACTTTTTTATAATAACGAGTGAAATGCACAAGTTTTGCAGTTTAACGGGAAAAATGCAGATAATATGTGTAATATAAAAAGATTTTCATTGGATTTTTCACAGCGCACTCAAGCATTATATGAAAAGAGACGTAATTATTTCTTTATTGATAATTTTTATTTTATGTAAAATCAAAAGGAATATTAATCAAAATTATTCAACTGGATGAATTTGTCTCTTCATCAGTAGTGTCATCCTCACCAATCTGAATTANTAGATGCCTATCTGGGCGATCACGTGAACATCACGCTTCGGTTTTGTTTTGTTTTACTCTATCTTGGATTTGGATAGACTTTTATACATTGTGAATAATCCTTTCGGTAGGACGATTTTGGCGACCGTAAAATGGGCGAAGTGCGCGATACGTTGCTTGAACACCCATTTTGATAAAACAATTTTACTTTTCACTTGTGTTGTTGAATGCCATATCCGCCGTTATCAATAATCATATTTTGGAAGTCCTAGTTGAAAGACCTTATATTTTTTTGTATAAGATCCATCGAACCATAAACCTAGACAACCGATATTTCCTAGTTCATTCCAGTGAGTAATAACCAAGATACGAATAAATACAACTGTATTAACGCTGAGGATATTAACGGAGATACAGGGTGTTGAAATTGAATTTTTTTGTTCGCTTTTTGAAAATAACTCTTGCAAAAAATAAGTTATTTGCACGAAATTCGGTATCCGGAGTTGCTTTGACGTGGAAAATCATAATTTCGTATTAATACTCATGTAACATCTAGAGGGCGCTGCGTACGCTGTCATTATTTATTTCAAATTGCCCTAACTTTTTTGACAGTAAACGTTTGGTACTTTTCATGAAAAAACCTAATTCTCACACCTTTTCCAAGTAAAAAAGGCACACCTCCTCAACAACGCTGGAGGTGATCGTTTTCGAGAGGATTGGTCTCCCATTTTGCAAACTCAAATACTTCCAGTACCTGCACTTTATTACATAAACCAGTTGTCTCGATTTTGGGTGAAACTTCCAACACAATAGATTTTTTTCAATATTATTCAGACAAATTTCAGAATCTTCAACAAACTCACATTTTTTTATAAAATTTCTAATATTCTATCAACAAACGTTTTTTGCGTCCTTCGTACATAAATCAATAATATTAATATAACTTCATTCGGAAATATTCCCAAATAGCCACATTTTTATGAATGAAATAAGGAACGATAAAAGCAGGATGCACTTGTGCTGTGAAGTAAAAGAATGATATGTATAATATATAATCTAATAAGTCGCTCACCGAATGCAATAGTGACACAACTCAAAAAATATCGATTTTGAGATATCGTTGTGCGGGAATTAAAAATTACACCACCTACCTACAACAATACCGGCATAACTCAAAATGCAAAAATATGCCGGAGGTGGCAGAAGTGTCGCTATAGACCGTTACCATTACTCTAATATATTGTGATGCAATACTGGCTCATTTTCAGTATACCGCCAGGGACCAAGGCGTATGTATGGAAAATGTTTGTGCATTAGTGACACATTTTGATTTGGGTCAGTATTGCATTCTTCTGCAAATCAATTGTGAGTTGGACCCAAATGATATAACTCGAAATTGGTCATAGGAAGCTGATTTATTATGGAGCCAAAGAATAGAGTTAATGGCAGAGGTGCCCAAATACTAGCCAAGGTTGGAATAAGGCAAGTTAATGACATTATTACAATGCACAGTGATTTTATTAAATAATTTTTGTAGATTAGAAAAAAATGACAGTGGCTCATGGAGAGTCCACAATAATGCTGCATCCACTTCTACGTATGAGGAGACACCTGTTGCATTTAATGATGAATCTTTGTTGGACCAACCAAGTGGTTCACGATTATTATCAGCATATGATGCGAGTGACGATAGCGTTTCATCACAGTTTGATGATTCGGATGCCGACAAAGAATATTTGTTGTCCTCAGAATCAACTAGTGATTCGAGTTCTACCTCGGCTGAAGAAGTCGACAACCAAGCTGGAATGGAAAAAGAAAACGAAGTCGAAAAAAAAATTATAAGTAGAAAGTGACGAGCAAATCCGTCACAATGGAAAAGAAATAAAAGGAAGTTCCTACGAAACTGTGAGCAAGAATATAAATCAAAGAAAAATAATATAGTTAGTGCGCGACACCTACGGTCTCCTTGTGGAGAAACTTGCAGACTGAAATGTTCCAGTAAATTTACAGAAAATGAACGTCTGAAAATATCTGAAAAATTTTGGGATTTAGGGGATATCAACAAACAAAGATTTTTTATTATGAATTCTGTTGAAATACTTACGCCGAGATACAGATATCCCGTTTTGAAGGAAGGAACGAATCGTCAAAATAATCATTCTTTTTTTTTGGAAAAAGATAACGTAAAAATGAGGGTTTGTAAGANTTTAGTTTGTTGTAGGTACGCAATAAATGTATATCAGTTGGTAGTATTTCTTCTATAAACTTCCATTGGTGATGGCAATGATTTGCCTACTTATTATTTGATTTTTTCAATACTAACAATAGAAAAGTTCAAAGTGAAGAATTTACAGGCTATTATTTCAATGACTACACAATACGAATATTATTATTTTTATTTTTACATCCAAAAAGCCGATAATTTTTGAGTTGTGCCACTATTTATTGCAGTGAGCAGAGTAGTATCACCTCAAAAATTGTTTGAGCAATAAAGAACTTTCTTTCAAATTCATAAGAAGACAAATTTTTATTGGAGACTCTGATATTAAAATAACTAGTTAGTAGTGGGTTCAATACAACACCGAATGAAAATAAACAAATATATATCGTAGTCTTAGATAATAGATGAAATATATTTCACCTAATTTATTTTCTTCATTTCCCACAAACTACACTTTTTGAGTTGTGCCACTATTGTATTCGGTGAGCGAAGTGATAATTCGAAAGTAATGTGAACAGGAGTATAATGAAGACGATTTCAATATCGTATATATGAGGGTGATCCCAGAAGTACCAGGCCCAACAAAGAAAACACAAACATTTTGAAAAAAAAATGTTTATGCTTGATGAAAGTCCCTTTGCAGCTCTATACACTTTAACCAGCGAAGATCAATGAGTTCGATATTGTTTTTATAATAAGAACTGTCTTGCTCCTCAAAATAACCATTAACTGTCGACATCATATTTGACCATTGAATCATTTCAGGATAGTTAATGGAAATTATTCCACGCGCATCCCAATGAACCGCTGCCATGAACTTGCCTGCAGATAAAACGGTCTTCGCCTACTTTGGAGCTAGTTCTCCCTGTTGAGTCCACTGTTTTGAATGTTCTTTTGTCTCGGGTGAAAATTGATAGATATATGTTTCAATCATGGTTATGAAACGATGGAAGAATTATGATTTGTTGCGGTGAAACTTCGCTAAACATTTTCACAACACTGTTATTGCACTCATTTTGCACACAGCTCTCTCATGTCCAAGTTTTAAAATAATATACGATGTACCGCACTTTATAAGATGACTACTGAGTCTTCTAGCTTGCGCACTTTTAGTTGAAGATCATTTAGTACTGCTTTGTGGATTTTCTTCACCGTTTCTGAAGTTTGGTCGACCACTGCGATGCTCGTCCTGGCATCTCGTAGGGCTCGTTCAAATACTGCTACTAACGTAACAATACTGTTGTTAACGAAGGAGCAGACTCACCTAGAGTATAATCCATTTTGGCTTTTATATTGGTTGAGCTGAGGTTTTTCAAGTAAGGGTATTGCTCCACATAATGATGATTAATTTTCTCCATTTTCACACATCAACCAAAAACGTTCGCTATTTATAGCTGCCAAACAAATACTGAACAACGCAACGTCTTCAGACTTGAAATATATGCTTTTTAGATCGTGTACTTTCTATTACGATATTTTTAAAACAACTACCGCCATCTATAGGTCAGGCCGGATACTTTCGGGATCACACTCGTATTCAAAATACGCTGTTTGTTCAAAAAATAACAGCCAGAATAAAAATGACTCTAATGTGAATCAATGAGTTGAAATGAGTTCTATTTTCCTAAAACTTGCATTGATAACGTTATCAACTATTATCGTTGAATACAATAATGCACTGTCAACCTTGCTCTTGATTGCCTCTTGCCATATTCATGGTACATTGAAAATAAAACTCATTATGATAAAAACGAATAACAACTATAACCACGGAAAACGCGCTTTTATCAGTTTTCGACGAATTTTCCAGCGCGAGAGTGTTACATTTCATCTGTTTATTATACCCAAAATTTCGTTTAACATTGCGAATTGACGACTTTTGTTTTCCAACTCCGGATAACCGGACTAATTCCACCGGTTGCAGATGAAATCGAATGGAATATGCAACTTTATAGTTTGAAGTTGGCCGTACTGCGGTTAGCAACTTTCATTCGTTGCATAGGGTAATTGTTTCAGTCATTCTAATCATTGTTAATTGCCGAATGAGCAATCCCAGTGGTGGTTGCTGGTTTTGATAGGGCTTTGTCAATGATTAATCAATAGAATATTTGGCTACTCGATTCACTGGTGTTCTCAGATAGATATAATTCAGTAACAAAATACTATTCATCAGTTCCGACTTCCATGATATGAAATGATTCGAAATCCCTGAAAGATTGAATACAATTGAAAAGAGTAGCTGGAAGAACAACAATTATATTAAACAAAAAAACTGAATTGAAAATCAAATAAAATACAAGCACAACAATGGAAAACTGAACTGTCAACAAGGAATAAAAATTAGAATTGAAGGGGTTATATTTTTAGGAGTGATACATTTTTTTGGGAAAGAAAATTTTTGGCTTTCTACTACTCCATCTGATACAAAAAAAAGGGATGAGAGAATCTTCCAAAGAAAGGAAGAAAGTAATCAATTTGAAACTCTATACATGAATGTGTAGATCATGCAAATTATTTCCATCACTTTCACAATGGAAAAGGAAGTCCACAACGAATTGCCATTGTGAAGTTACTCGACTTGATATTTTATAATTTTGATTTTCATTTCTTGTTAATTGTTCAATTATAAATTGTTGCTTGTATTTTATTTCACTGTAATTTCAGTTTTTTCATTAATATAATTGTAATTTTTTTCAGCAAATTTTTTAAATTCGTTACATTGATTCTATCAGGCATTTCAAATCATTTCAAATCGTTTCAGACAATGAAAGTCCAAACCGTTATTTCAACACCTAGACACGTGTTTCGATCACCAATTGATCATCTTCAAGAAGAAGATCAAACTAATCATATTTACAAAGCTATCCTCATTTATATCATGGATACCTGTTCTAGGTATCTGTGTCTTGAATTAATTTCACAATAGTGCCTCATCTACTAATATTAAATCAATTTTACAATGTGTCCTTATGTAAATCTAACTTTTCCTCTGACACATGTGAGGTTCATAAAAGAAATATGTACAATACAGGAAATGGCAGTCACTAAAGGTTTCTCGAGGTGATATAATTAGGAAGAAGTTTAGGTTGAAAATGAATGAAATCTCGACTTTTAGAAAGGACAAAAACCAA